AGTGCTGGGATTAAAGGTGTGTGCCACCATGCCCATCTTCCCAGTTCCTGATTAAAGCAGGGCTTTGCAAAGCAAGACTAGATGAAGTAGTTTGGCTAAAGGAGAGTTTTAACCTATAAAGGACACTGGCAAGGGCTCCTGTTTCCACCCAGATTGTAGATTCTCAAGAACCAGAAGCAGAAATACCATACATTTGGCTGGAATCATATCAGACTTATGTGGTACCTACCAAAGGCTGTGCACCAGACTTCCTCATTTAACCTTCGGTCTCCATATTCCTGTTCTTTTTTTTTTTTTTTTTTTTTTTTTTTACTGTATGAACAGTTTTAAAAAAAAAAGGACCTCCAGCATAAAGAGGGCAGGGGCTGGTACTGAGAAGATGCCAGGCATACTTGCTTCAGGTCGGCCTGTTTGCTCTGTGCTGAAGATTGGTCAAGTGTGCAGGAGCGGTCCTCATGGGTAAACAAGGGAGGTGCCTTCAGCTGTGTCCGTGGTCATAGAAGGAAAAACACTTCTGAAGGGCCTGGGTGTGAAAGTATCCTCACAGGCTTCCTTGTGCTCTGGACATGAGATTGCAGATTGAAAGCTACCTGCTGCTGTGACTCCATTCATAATAGTGTCCAAAGTGGCCCGATACACTGTAGAGGAAATGGGTGCCTTTGAATTCAGAATAGCTTCTGATTACTTATAAATCAGATGTCTGCTAAGAAGATAGATACAGGTAAACGTTTAATTTCCCCCAGCATCCTTCATGGAGAGACTAGCCAAGAACCCAGAAACAGGCATGGAAGGCATAGAACTGCTGTGTGAGTTACCCATGTCATTTCTGTCTGTTTCCTCACTTAAAATGCTCACTTTTAGCAGATATAAAAGCATACACACCCCAGCAAGCAAATCTCTGAAATGTCTTAACGGCTCTTAGGAACATCCCTTGGGCTGTGATATGGTCGTATTCAAGCATTGAGAGCCTGCTTTCATGGCCTTTCACTGGTCTCTGCTCAGGGAATGATGTCCACATAACTTACCCACCTTTAACCACCCAAACCAGACAGCCCTTCCAGCATCTTGGGGCATTGGGGTAACGGGGTAGAACCAGGAGGAAAGAGCTTCTCCAATTAGACTCAAGTGCTTCAAATGACCTTGTTTCCCAAGAGGCGTTGGTAGCATTCCAGGAAGTACTGTGCCGAAGGTTAGACTTCATTTGTGGTTTGAAGTCAGTTCTCACCATTAAAGGTCGTTCGCTCCCTTCTTGCATCAAGCAGACCTCGCTGTGACTGATGCTCACCTACACTTTTCTTAAGGTGAAAAGATACACAGAACCTCCATTGGCTATTGAATTTGTCTCCTAGGAGAGAAGGAAGCTGCTCGCTGTGTTTTAATTATAGCTCTTCACACGCTCCTGGCCTAATTAAGGTTTGCTTTACTCCAAGGAAGGAGAAAGCGCATATGGCTTTACAGTGGGAGCTGCCCGTCCGTCCGTATCTTGGTTACTTCGGGAAAGCCACGTAAGAAATCCTCTCTTTGTTGTCCTTGGACCCGTTAGTGGTACAGGGAGTGTGAAGATCGAGGCAAGCTGTTTGGTGTGGCCTGCTTTTTCACTCGGAACCGTCCCTTAGCTGCGCCTCAGAAGCTCAGGGTCGATGGCTGTCCTTTCTCTGAGTACCTCGCTTTGTCCATCCTCTCGGGCCCTCTTGCTGCACCAAGTCTGCTGACACATAACATCTTGAGAGTCTCAGTGTGAGAAGGCTGCAGTCCAGGTAGCCTCCCCTCCACAAGGACCAGGAGAGGTGGAGGAATGGCAAGCTCAGGCCAAGAGCGTGGCCACCACAGGAGCAGCTGATGCTGTATGGGGCTGGCTGATGCTGACCGAGCTCACCACCCAGTGCCCACCCACACCCAAGTTCTTTATCCTCCAGAGGTGTTTTCCATAGAGATTTTCATTTTCCTCTTTTATCCCAGGCCATAGGAAGGGGCAAATGGGATTTTGAGTCACGTTGCTTATAGAAGGAAGTCCCAACTGGATTCCTTTAGAAACAAAAATGAAAATGAGGCACGTGCCTGGAGGGGTCTGCTGCTCCATTAACAAGAGTCTTCCTTGCTAAGAGGCACCTGCAGAATTCCAAGAGGTAGGCTCTTCCCTAAAGAACAACCCCGCCCCTGCACAAGGAGGTAGGGTCGAAGTCCTCAGTACCTGAATAAGTGTCGTACTCATGGTCATCCAACCCAGGATACCAAGATGGTAGCTGGGGAAAACAGTGATGGTAGGGTCTAGAATGTGACTTTTTTTATTTTGGGGGTTTTTTGTTGTTGTTGTTGTTGTTGTTGTTTGTTTGTTTGTTTTTGAGACAATCTCACTATTTACCTTAGCTTCCGTGGAACTTATTACATAGACCAGGCCACCAACTCAAAAGAGATCTGCTTGCCTCTGTCTCCCAAGGGAGATTAAAAATGGGTGCCTCTGCACCCTGCTAAATTCGACAACTTTTAATATGGTAAAATTTCAAGAGGTGTAGCAAGTGAAGGTAACAATTTTAGCACATTCTTTTTATTGCACATATTTATCCTCGTGGGAACTTTACTGCATTGTCTATGAGATTTTGGCAAGGAGCATGTCCTCTCTGTATCTCAGAAGATATCTAGCGTTTCTGTCATGGGGAGAAGGCAGGACAGTAAGCAGTGTATTCTGACGGCATGGCCCTCTCCGGTTAGGTCTCCTGCAGACACCAAGCCCACCTGCTCACCCTGCTTTCTGGTCCTCTTTTCGCTCTGGTTTTGTATCTTGAGTCTTGAAAGTTCTGACAGGTCTGTGAGAGACGGACCTAACTGGCCTTGAAAGAAGACACAAGACCAAAAATATATGCATGCCTAGGATGTTACCTCATCGTGCTGGTCTAGAAAAAATAGCATTGTGTGTGGTCTGTTACAGAGTCTAGCGTAGAAATTATTGAAAACTTGGAGAGAGAACCACTTAGAGATAATGGAGTCCACCCTCACTTTGACAGTGAAAGCACATTGCTGCCGGTCAGACCTTCCCAACCCACAGGGCTCTTCGTCTCAAGCATTCCAGACTCCTGGGCTGCTGTTTGGCCTTGAAAACTGTGTAAACTCTGAATGTTTTCATGTGGAGAAAGTAACAAAACAGAAGGAAAACATAAAAGAAGTCAAAAGAAACACCAGATGCTAGCTCGGCATCCATGTACCAGTGTAGCAGGCCTGGCATTTATTTCTCACGTTAAATGGGATGAAAATGTGACAGTGTGTCTTCCAGTCCTTGTCCAGACATGCTGCTCACTGTAGGGCATCTGTACTGTTCACCAGGCTGAGCAATTGTCTCCAGGGCAGTGGGCCTGAAGCCTCCTGGATCCTGACTCAGTTTCCCCTTCCCTCAGACCCTTTCTTACTGAGATCAGCAGCATGAAACTGCCAGTTTGCCGTCTGAGCTGCACACTGAATTCTCTTGAGACCTTTACAAGAGGCTCCTTGACGTTTCGGTTCATAGTCAGGGTAAGGCCAGGCATTAGTAATTCTTTAAAAGCTCCCAGGTGATCGTGCTGTGCAGCTACAATGGGACCCACAGCTGTTTCCAAATTTCATCTGATCAGAATCACCTGTTAAAACACTGGCCAGCTGGTAAATCTCAGCACTCAAGAGGTGGAGGCAGGAGGATCATTACTTCAACCTTGGCTACCTGAGACCCTACCTCTTCACACCCACACCCACACACACACACACACACACACACACACACACACACACACACACACACACACACACACACACCACATTGGGTTTCCTGCCCATAAATTTCAGAGTTATTGAGATCCAGGGTGGGGCCTAAGACTGTTACAAGTTGGAGGGCGGTGTCAACTCTGTGGTTGGGGACAGTTCTTTGAACCAACATCATTAGATTCTCTAGAATTTGTGATCTGGGTCCCTGAATGCCAGCCTTGGTGATCTAGGGTTTTAGATTCTGAAGGTGTGGGGTAGCTCAAGAATGCATTTCTCAGGGGCCCTGGGTACCGCTGGTGGTGCTGGACAAGGATACACACTTTGATCACTAGTGACTGGGTCCTTGTGTGTGTGTTTCATGCTTGCATGAGATGAGACTTAAAGCATACCATCTCAGCACCTGGCGTTCTGTGGTTATCAGGAACACTCAAGAGTGTTCCAGACTGTAGACGAAAGTAAACAAGCTTGGAGCTGTGGTTTTCATAGACAAATAGCATCCCCTGGGTGTTAGGAACATAGCAGGTGGGCAGCTTGGAAATAGAGTCATTCAAATAAACTTCCTGTCCTGACCATTGGAGTGGGTCTTCAGGTCTCGTAGGCTGCCCATCTCGCTGTGTGGAAACTGCTGAGGAAACAGGCCCTGGAAGGGAGCCAGTGAAAACTGCAGGACTATAACAGAAGCTTGCCCCTGGTTCTGGGGGTCTTCTGTGACACCACAGTGTGTGCAGATGGCTCATCCGTGAGTCCAGAGGGCGACACAGCAACAGGAAGTGGCAAGGAATAAGGAAGGTGGACTGTGTTGCTCCTGGTGTTTAAAGTGGGGTTTCCAGGCCAGTGGTCTTGGTACCGGCAATTTAGGGACTTGTTAGAACTACACATGCTTGTGCCCCCATGCCCCAGATAGTCCATAACTGGCACACTCACATCTGAGTGCACTCAGGTTTGAGAACCCCGGCTTAGGGAGAGTGGCATACGGAGACAGGATGCCATCTTGGAGTTGGACTGGTCTCAGGCATGCTGAGGCTCCAGGTAGAGGGAGTTTCTGAGGGCAGCAGCCTGGGAGTGACTTCAAACTCCCCTTCAGCCTTCCAGTGTGCTGACCCTGTGTGAATGCAGGTACAGTGTTAGACTTCTCTCTCTTCACAGTTCCCGAACTTGCCTCAGTACAGCCCCAAGTAACTTTCCACATACTTGAAACGAATGAGTTCATTTGAACAAAGTTCACTTGAACAGGGTTCTGTGCGGTAACTGTTTTTCTTCTCTTTTTTCAGTTGGTGACAGGTGTGTGGGAAGGCAAATACAACTTCTTCTGTCAGGGAACACGCAGCGCAGGAGAATCAGACATGAAGGTACTGTTTCAGGGGTGGGTGTGGGTGGGTGTGTCTGTGTGTGTTTGGTTTTTCAATAAAGAGCTTATACAAAAGGCGAAAAAGACCATACCCTCTCAATCCTGATAATTCTTGTTGACATTTTGAAAAGAGAAAGAAAGAAGTGCTGGGTGTGTGGTAGGAAAACGTGAACATGAATGGCATAAAGAGAATGAAAATGTAAGCCGCCCTCTCTGTAGAAGAAATTCTGTGAGCAGTTGACAGGGGAAGATTGTGTTTATCAGGTTTCATATTTACATAAAAGATCATTTGGATTTCAAATCATTCTTCTAAGTGCCTTCTGAGTGGTAGTATTAAAGGTGAAATCCAACTTCCACTCTGAGGATTGGAGGTTTTTTTTTTTTTTCACAGAAGGCTTACAGTCAAAGCTCAGCCTGGCCAGCATTTCCTTTGGACTTACTGATTGGACCAGCAATGGGTACCACACATTCTGGTTCCGTTTCTTCCATGATTCATGCTACCTCACACCAGTCCCTCAAGCCCAGAGCATCCTTCTCCCTCCTGGAAGTTCTGCACACTACTTCAGAAAAGTGCCGTTGAGGCTGGAGCTTCCCAGGGCCTTTGTGTTGACTTAGTTTTGCTTTGAGATGGGATCCTGTATAGCCTCAAATTCTATGTAGCTAAAGATGATCCTGAACTCTGGATTCTCTGGCTTCTACCTCCAAATCCCAGGATTGCAGGTGTGCGCTTCTTGTTCTTCTTAGAGTATGCTAGAGTGTCAGGAGCCCTTTGGAGACATCCCTGCTGTCCATCCAGAACTCCCAGGATAGCATGTTCATTGATTAAAGGGTGGCACCCACAGTGGCCGGAGCTCAGACACCCGAAGGCACCGGGAGCCAGCGGGGCTCTCCAGCTTTTTGTGTTGAGTGTACATGTGTGTAGCATGTCCCAGGTGACATTCCAGAAAAGCACTGGAGAAAAACCATAAACCCTTTGCTTGTAGATCATCCGCGTCCTCTGGTGGTACTACTTCTCCAAACTCATAGAATTCATGGACACCTTCTTCTTCATCCTTCGCAAGAACAACCACCAGATCACAGTCCTACATGTCTACCACCACGCCTCCATGTTGAATATCTGGTGGTTTGTGATGAACTGGGTTCCCTGCGGCCATTGTAAGTAATAGGGTGTTTGGGAACATATGATAGAGACAGACTGGAAACTTAGGCACTCAGCAAAGATGTTGTCTCTGTAAATTCCTAGGTTAAGCTTTGAATTTGTGTTCAGGTTTTTTCTTTTTCTATTTATTATTATTGTTTTAGTTAGCATACATTGTAAAGGGTTTCATTGTGACATTTTCATATCATTATAATTTTTTCTCACTTGTCCCTCCTCCGACTACCCTCTCATGTTCCCTTTCTTTACCCCTTTTGGTCTCCTCCTTTCTACTTTCTTAGAACATATATTAGACAAAGTAATCCTAAGCAGAAAGAGCAATGTTAAAGATATCACAAGGCCTGATCCCAAATTATACCACAGAGCCATAGTGACAAGAACAGTAGAGTACTGGTACAAAAGGGGGCACGTGGACTCAAAGAATAGAACAGAAAGAAGACCAGAAATCACACAGCTACCACATAATCTCTGACAAAGGTGTCAGCAGAAACACTCATTGCTTTTAAAAAAAAACAAACACAAATTATTCATTAGTAAATGGACTGTTGAATTCAATACACAGTTCATTAAAGGAAACACAAATGCCCAATAATTACTTTCAAAAAGTGCCCAACATCCTTTAGCTACCAGGAAAATGCAAGTTGCAGCTGCTTTGAGACCCCATCTCACTCTAGTCAGAATGGTTATCCTCAAGAAAACAAACCAATGGGGGATATAGCGGAGCGACAAGCCCTTGACCAGTATCAGTGAGGTCCTAGGTTCAATACCACTAGAGGCAAAATGCCGGCAAGGACATGGGCCAAGGGGAGCTGTTACTCACTTCCGGTGGCACTGTATCCTCATGGAGCTGATGTGGAAATCAGGAGGGAGGTTCCTCGGAAACTGAAGCTAAAACTACCATATGACCCTCCTATACTGCTCTTGGGTAAATAGCCAAGGAGTCCAAGTCAGCATACCACAGAGATACAAGTACATTCAGGGTTATTGCTGCTCTCTTCACGATAGACAACAAATGGAACCAGCCTGGATGGCCATCCACAGATGAAGGTCAACAGTGCACAGTGGAATTTTATGCAGGTATAAATCATGGCATTTGCAGGAAAATGGAGGCAACTGAATGTAGCCAGGCTTTCTTTGGACTGCCAGTTCCCAGATAATGATACGGAGACTTACTAAATATGAAAGCTTGGCCTTAGCTTAGGCTTGTTCCCAACTAGCTCTTAAAACTTAAATTAACCCATGTATATTAATCTACATTCTGCCACGTGGCTTGTTACCTCTGCTCAGTACCATGTGTCTCATTTCCTCTGTGTCTGACTGGCAAATCTCTGCCTCTGATTCCTTCCCAGAGTTTCTATCTCTGCCTGGAAGTACCGCCTATCCTCTCCTGCCCAGCTATTGGCCATTCAGCTCTTTATTACACCAATTAGAAGGTGCTTTGGCAAAACACGTCTTCACAGTGTACAAAAAGATCATGCCAGAACAAAGTGAAATGAGCCAGACTCAAATACTGCATGTTGTGTATCATATGTGAACCCAAATATAAAATTGTATATGTGCATGTATTAATGTGTAGGTCACAGAACTAGGAAAAGGATCATGAGAGAGGAGGAAGAGAGCTAAGGGAGATGGGAAATAATGAGGGTAATGGAGTGTATGTAAGACAGAGGGGACTGCTTACTAGGGAAGGTAGGAAGCCACCTGGACAAGAGGAGGGACAGGGAAGGACACCACCAGGAAGGGGAGCAAGCAAGAACAAAGTACAGCCAGGCGGTGGTGGCTCATGCCTTTAATCCCAGCACTTGGGAGACAGAGCCAGGCGGATCTCTGTGAGTTCGAGGCCAACCTGGGGTACAGAGTGAGTTTCAGGACAGGCACCAAAACTACACAAAGAAACCCTGTCTCGAGAAACCAAAAAAAAAAAAAAAAAGAACAAAGCACAGGGACAGAAATGTAGGAAGATGCCTCTGTGAAACCCATTATTTTGTATGCTAATTTAGAATTGAAATCATTAAAAAGACAAGCCTCTTCAATAGATGGTTCTGGAAAAACTAGAAATCCACATGTAAAACAATGGAACAGAACACAGATCTCTTGCTCTACCCAGAAATCAATCCTAAATAGATCAGAGGCTGTAAAGTAAAACCAGAAGTTCTGAACCTGTCTAAAGAAACCCAAGGCGCCGGGCGGTGGTGGCGCACGCCTTTAATCCCAGCACTCGGGAGGCAGAGCCAGGCGGATCTCTGTGAGTTCGAGGCCAGCCTGGGCTACCAAGTGAGTTCCAGGAGAGGCGCAAAGCTACACAGAGAAACCCTGTCTCGAAAAAACCAAAAAAAAAAAAAAAAAGAAACCCAAGGCATCAAGATACAGAAATAGGCAAGGACTTTGTGAAGAGGACCTGAGGTTTGCCTTTAATGAGTTTGTGTGGCCTAAGAGCACAGAACGTTCTCTAGCAGCCAGTGTCGTGTGCTGATTGGGTAAAATGAAGGAACTACCAGCCTGGGTTACATTAAGAAGTGGGGGATGGGTGGTCAGGTAAGTAACTCAGCAGGCAAAGGTGTTTGCTGCCAGGCCCAATGACCTGAGTCCAACCCCTAGAGCTCATGTAGTGGAAGGAGAGAACCAACTCCCACAATCCTTGTTCTGTCTAGTGTGGCAGGTGTGCATCAGGGAGCAAGGCCTGCTTGGCTACAGCACACGTTATGAAGCCCCCATACCCTCTCACTGAGTGGGGCTACCAGGGCGGTTTCCATAGCATGCACTGAAGTTTGCTATGGAACTTAAGGTTGGTTATGGTGCTGGCATTTGCATCTTCAGGTTCCACTTAGGATCCCAACAGATATCTCAGTCATGTGCTTTTTTATCCTGACATTGAAGAATTTGACTTAGAATCTTGGGATCTGCTAATGGATTCTCCTCTGCCCCCAGCATAGTTGCTGATTAACTCTGCCCACCAAGATTCACAGCTCTATCAGGTGTATAACTGGACAAAATTTTCTAAATGCAGTGCCTTTGCACTTGGGAGATAAGTGAGACCCTGGGAGGGTGGGTTGAGCTCAAACCCCGCCCCCTTTCTTTTTTATATTTTTTTTAATTTTATTTACCAACCACAGTTTTCCTCCCTCCCCACCCCCACCCACTCCTCAGAAAGGGTAAGGCCTCCCATGGGAGTCAACAAAGCATGGCATATCAAGTTGAGGCCAGGACCAAGCTCCTCCTCCCCTGCATCAAGGCTGAGCGAGACATCTCACCATAGGGAATAGGTCCCAAGAAGCCAGTTCATGTGCCAGGGACAGATTTGGTCCACTGCTAGGGGCCCCACAAACAGACCAAGTTACACAATTGTCATCCACATGTCGAGGGCCTAGGTCTGTCCCAGGCAGGTTCCCCAGCTGTCAGTCTAGAGTCCCTGAACTCCCATGAGCTTGGGTCAGCTGTCTCTGTGGGTTTCCGGTCATGATCTTGACACTGCACCCCACCCTCACCCCCTACCCCTGCTTGCTCATATAATCCCTCCTCCCTCTCTTTGATTGGACTCCAGGAACTCGGCCCAGTGCTTGGCTGTGGGTCTCTGCATCTGCTTCCATCAGTTACTGAATGAAGGCTCTATGATGACAATTAGGGTAGTCACCAAACTGATTACAGGAGAAGGCCAGTTTCAGGCACCCTCTCCACTATTGCTAGAGTCTTTGCTGGGTCATCCTTGTGGATTCCTGGGAGTTTCCCTGGTACCAGGTTTCTCCCTAACCACTTAATGGCCCCCTCTATCAAGATATCTCTTTCATTGCTCTCCTTTCCTGTCCCTCTCCCAGCTTGGCCTTCCCAATACCTCACATTCCCATCCCCCCCCTCTCCTCTACCCCCCCCCCCCCATACCCAGGAGATCTCATCTATTTCCCCTTCTTGGGGTGATCCATGTGTTTCTGTCAGGGTTCTCCCTGTTACTTAGCTATGGTGGTATTTTACTTGTACTGAAATGTGATTTTAATTGTATGTTAATAAATAAAGTTGCCCAGGGGTCAGAGCTATTAGAGCCATAGCAAGAGCATGGCAGTGGTGGTGCACGCCTTTAATCCCAGCACTTGGTAGACAGAGCTAGGTAGATCTCTGTGTGTTCAAGGATACAGCCAGCATTGGAGACATATGCTTTTAATCTCAATCCCAACCATAGAAGACCTGGAAGTCTCTACAGACAGGCAGTGACGAGGCAGTCATGTGTTTGGGTTTACAACTAATGAGAAGGCAGAACAGAAAGACTATATAAAGACAAACACACAGGAAGTAGCTCTCTTTCGGCGAGGTCTCAGTCTCTACAGACAGGCAGTGACGAGGCAGTCATGTGTTTGGGTTTACAACCAATGAGAAGGCAGAACAGAAAGACTATATAAAGACAAATACACAGGAAGTAGCTCTCTTTCGGAGAAGTCTCTTGGCTTAAGAGGCTAGCTGCAGGGTCAGGCTCTTAGCTCTGATCTCTTGGCTTTCTTCTTTGCGTTGGTTCTGTGTTTCTTATTTAATAAGACGGTTGGTTACATCTACACTTAGCTTCTCTGGGTCTGTGGATTGTACTCTGGTTATCCTTTGCTTTACATCTAATATCCACTTAGGAGTGAGTACATGCTGTGTTTGTCTTTCTGGGTCTGGGTTACCTCACTCAGGTATGATTTTTTTTTTTTCTAGTTCCATCTGTTTGCCTGCAGATTTCATGATGTCATTGTTTTTTTACCACTGAGTAATACTCCATTGTGTAAATGTACCACATTTTCTTTATCTATTCTTTGGTTGAGGGACATCTAGGTAAGCTCAAACACTCTTAAACTAGTGTTCATCCCTTACCACCTGTGGGTAAAGCTAGCCCAGATTCTAGTAGGGACAGCTCTGCATTTGATTACATTCAAAGAATATTTTACATTCCAACATATCTCGACAACTAGCCCCACCTGGCCCATGGAAAACTAGAGAGAGTGTACATGACCTCTGCAAGGGTACAGGACCAGCTTCTGTCATAGTCAGTAGAAACTCCTCCTAATATAAGTCCGTGTTTCTGGGGGGTGGGGCTTTGGTTCCTTAGTCACTGTTGAGGATGAAAGTGTAAAAAAATGTATTGTACTGGAAATTGAAAGTCATGATAAAATGGATCTTTCCTCTCCAAGGAACTGACTCTAGATTCTATTGTTAACCACAATCATAACTATAGTCCTAAGGAGTAACCGTAACTTCCAAGTCTCCTTAGACCTCAGCAAAGGGATGGAAACAGCATGCTGCCCATCACTTAGCCTCCCCCAGTATTCAGAATGGAACCTCTTAGGCATCTGGGAGGAGGAGTCCGCCTCCCCACCAGCCACACCTGCAGGTGCCAGGGCTGGGGCACGAGTAGTCATGGGGGCTTCAGCTGGCCAGTGGGATTAAGGTGTCCTGGTGGCTGCCTGCCCTGCCCACCTGAGTGGAAACTGACTTTTCATTACACATCGGTGTAGTACTATAGTTGCATTGGTTGTTGTCCTCTGGAATTTCAGAGGAGTTTCTCTAGCTCCAGAGTGTCTTGGATTTCCCCTGACTGTTAATTTACAAAACTCTAATGCATTCCCCCAATCCCCTTTGCTCCCACAGCTTACTTTGGTGCGACACTCAACAGCTTCATCCATGTCCTCATGTACTCGTACTATGGTCTGTCCTCTGTCCCTTCCATGCGACCCTACCTCTGGTGGAAGAAGTACATCACCCAGGGGCAGCTGGTGAGTAACTTAATCACTGTGCCCAGAAGTGGCTCCTTGCTGGCCACAGCCCTCTTCCAGGCCACACTGTTGTTTAATCAAATCCAGTTGATCTAGTTCCAGTTTCATCGGCAGATCAGAGGATGCTCTTGTTTCTAGTAGATGGAGAAACTGCTCTGGACTGGGGGTGCCTCAAGTCTTGAGCTCCCAACTTCAGATCAGTCTTAGCTCTTACTTTGTGTGTGTAAGCACATAATGTGCACACGTGTACCTGTGTGTGCTTTCTCATGTCCAAAATGAAGCTGAAAACTGCTTATCTGTCTTCCCAGGAGTTTCAGGTAGAACTTCCAAGGTGTTGAGTCCAGAGCCTTTGTAGCTTACTAGACAGTGAGCCTGTTGGCTAAGATGGGTACAAGGTGACTACTCTGACCCATGCAGCAGAGCACCTCCCACTGCTTCAGATGATGGGCCCTGGCAGAAGCAGGCCAGCAACTGTCTGGTCTGGATGGTTCTTCTCACCCTTCTTTCTTAAGCCTTGGCCAGTTGTCAGTATATTATTGGTGCACATTCCTTCCCCGTCATGAAGTCTTCCTGAGCTGATTAGTAATAGTACTGTTGATCAACACTGGCGCCTTTTGTTCTGGATGCCAAGTACTCATGCTAAGTAAATGATTTTTGTATGAGTTGTTTCAAATGTTGTCCCCATTCTGTAGGTGAACACGTTGAGGCAGGAGGCCAAAGCTGGCTGCAGGGGCAGGCACTGAGCCCCCCAGCCCAGGCTTGCCATACACATTGGTTCCAAATGAATCTAACGTAGATCCCCTGAATTCCATCTTGATTTCTCGAAATTTAAAAATAGCATTCTGAGACGCCCCTTCCGTATTTGGTATTTCATTATCACCTCTGCCAGCTGCTCTGCAGTCCCTTATTAATCTTCTTCTCACCTGTGAGGAAGGGCGATCGTTCTCTCGCCTCCTCTGCTACCAGGGGAGAAAGGATGCAGAGATGGATCGATGCCGTAGTCAGGGCTCTGGCAGACAGAATGTGGAAGAACACCGTGGGGCATTGACATCCTGCTGGGCTGTGTGCCATCTGCCTAGTTACGTCTTGTCTTGGAGGACTAGCCTGAAGAAATAGAGGAAACCAGGGAGCTGGTGGACGCTTCGGAGACGTCACCGGGCTGGCCTCACCCGTTGATCCTCCTGAAGGTGCTTTACTAGTCAGGTGGCCCTAACACCTTTTCAGTGTATCTCTACACGGGTCCACCGTTTTCCATGGTCACTCATCAGGAGTCCTCTGTGGAGCTGGCCTTTTGGCCAAGAAGAGTTTCAATGTTCATGACAGCTTTCACCACATCCAAGTGAACACAGATCCCGAGGAGGAAGCGTATCAGTCAGATCATGTGTAGCAAGTGACAGTCATTGGCCCCTTCAGACACATACCTCACGCCTCTCTCTTGTGTCTGTCGGTGCCAAGTCCCACAATAGGATGAAGGTGGTTTAATAGCTTTGAGGAGAGGGGGGGAGCTTAGAGAAGACACTTACATACAGTTTAGGATAAAATGTGGTCTAGAAGGCTGGCGAATGCTGGTTCCCAAACTTGGGTGGAAGCTCTGATACACAGTTCTGGTTGGAACCCCACCTGTGTTCAGCCCTGGCCTTTTCTCCTCTAGGTCCAGTTTGTACTGACAATCATCCAGACGAGCTGTGGAGTCATCTGGCCATGTACCTTCCCCCTCGGGTGGTTGTATTTCCAGATTGGATACATGATTTCCCTGATTGCCCTCTTCACGAACTTCTACATTCAGGTAACTCTCGCCTTTTGCTGGCAGCCGACCTCCAGCCTCTCACTCAGGAGGGCTCTGTCGGCCACTGCTGGTGCTGGCACTGTGCTCCGAAGGAGCCTTTGTAGGGATGGAGGGACCGCCGCCCACTTTGCTCTAGATACTGGAGCTGGGCATCCTGGGGTTCAGGTGGGAGATAAGCAGTGTGCTTTATTCCTTCCCTCTGGCCTAGTGCAGAGAAATAGAGGTGATTTTCAATCAAAAGTCTCAGGCCCACTGCCCTGCTTGTCAGAGCTCAGTGGCATTTCCATCGAAGTCCTCTGCTATAGTTGAAACCTACCTACCATTTGTCCCACTTTTCTTGCATGCCTCCTGCTCAAGTTGGGGGCATGAGTTTGGTCTCATGAAGTGATAGAGGTTTGCACACAGAGACTGTCTCTGGGGGCACCTGACCACTTGGCATACACTGATGATTCTCCTGCTTCTGTGGCGAGTGCCCAGTGGCTTCAGTCCCCACTGACCTGGGCAGAAGGTCCCAGGAGCAAGGGCAAAGGTCATGGGTCCTGAGCCAAGGCCAGTAGTATGGAACGGCCACCTGGAGGCTCAGCCACTGTTTCTCTTCTGGGTCCCCGTGCACCTGCGTGTGACTTGTTGACTCATGTTTTGCTGGGGCCTGACTGTGGGACCTTTCTCCAGTTGCTCCTAGCAGTATAGTACTTCGTACAAGAGGGCTGAGGTAGTAGCTGAGGCAATAAGACAAAATTAAAGGTAAGCAGTGACATCTGTGTTAGAGGAGCTACTTGTCGGGTGGGAGGAGCCAATTTGGTCATAGCCGGTCACTCTACCATCCAGTCCTGAAGAGGCAAAGGACAGTGAACATAAACTCTGGTTCGTAAATGTTTCTGTTGTGACCTCGGAGTCAGAGAACCTATGAGCTAGGCCTCAAAAAAAAAAAAAAAATCGAAAGTGTGATTGAAATAGAAAATGGTTATTGGAGCACAGGAATTACTTGATAAGGTTTATCATACAAGTAGAGCAGGCCTAGTTAGGTGCAGACTATTACAGTTCTCCTGGTTAGCAGGCACTCATCTGCCTTGTACATTTCAGACCTACAACAAGAAAGGGGCCTCTCGGAGGAAAGAGCACCTGAAGGGCCACCAGAATGGGTCCACGACTGCGGTCAACGGCCACACCAACAGCTTCCCCTCCCTGGAAAACAGCGTGAAGCAGAGGAAGCAGAGGAAGGATTGACAAGCGGAGGCGACCCCTCCGGACCACGGCGTGTGATTGTAAGCACAGTATGAGTTGTGCCCTGACGCTCGTAACAGCTGCTGTCACTAGTCTGGCCTACTGTAGTGTGATTTAGGTAGGGCCTTTTTCATCAGTTCCAAACCCCTAGAGTATGTATACAGATTATACAAGTAGGCATACGATTTCTCCCATTTCTGGGCTCTCATCGACCCCTGCGCTAGACTGTGGAAAGGGAATGTTATTGTAGTATACGACACTGCTGTTGCCTTATTAGTTATAACACGATAGGTGCTGAATTGTGGTTCACAATTTAAAACACTGTAATCCAAACTTTTTTTTTTTAACTGTAGACCATGCATGTGATTGTAAATGTAAATTTGTACAATGTTGTTAACAGTAGAAAAACACACATGCCTTAAGACTTAAAAAAAGCAGGGCCCAAAGCTTACTAGTTTAATTAGGGTAATGTTTCAACTTTGTATTCATTTGTAATAGCTCTGTTTAGAAAAATCAAATATGTGATTTATGAAACTAGCGTGTGATGTGTAACGTCAGGTGACTTGGAGATGCGAGATGGACAGCACCTTCCGTTTTCTGATGCTGGCTTTGAAGAGGCAGTCTAGTGGGACAGTCAGCTTAACTTTTTAACAGATCTTATTTTTTTATTTTGAGCGCCACTGTTAATGTGTTTTAAAGAGGTGGGGAAAGGGTCCAAAGCAGTCTGGAGACACTTGCATATCTCTTCTTGGTCCCCCAGAGTCTAGGGCGACGGTAGGGTGAGCAGGCCACTTGACACTTCTGAAGTGCTTAGTGTTTTTATACAGGAGACGGAAAGTCCATTCTCCATCCCTCCATTTGGGAAGAAGAGAAATACCTTTCAGGAAGGGTGATTAGACACTCACCATGTGACCGTCACACGGACCAGCGATGGGGAACTGGTTGCCTGGGTCCATATTTTTTATTGTTTTTCTGTAGTGCTATTTTGACATATACTTCCTTTTAAAATGTGCCTAATTTACCAAAATTTACCAAGAGACCAGGAAGCACCTTAAGTATTTTGAGGTAAAATTAAAGAGGTAGCTAGAGCATGAAGGAACCGGGCATTTGGGGAGTGATTTTATTCAGTGTATATCTTGGCAGCATTTATAATTTTTTTTTTTCTGCTTAGCATCTAAAGATTGGTTTCAAGCGCTTGTTTCAAAGTAACAGACTACTTATCTTGAAATCGTGTCTCGTGCACCTGAGGCGGTGATCATACAGATGAGGACTCTTAAACGTGTGTCGTTTTTAAAGTGTTGAAAGTTTAGCCTTTGAATACCTTCTGCATTGAAAAAAATTTTGTTGAACCACTCACGACACATCTTAGCAGATGATTGACAATGTATAAACTAATTGTGGGTTTGATATTTATGTAAATATCAGTTTACCATGCTTTAATTTTGCACATTCAATTATAAGGAGCCAATTGGTCCTAATTAGTCTTGTGGGTTTTCTGTTTGGAAGGAGTTGCAGCATCTGTTTACATTTACCTTATGAAATCTAGAATGTGTATATTTGTGTGTGTCTTCATCCTAGGTACCAGTTTGCAGGTGTCTTTACATATTTCAGTACAAAAACTATAACATTCAGTAGTGTGCTGTCAACGTGTGCTTAGCCTGTCTGGATATACCCACACTGTTAAATAATGTCTAAACATTAATCATTAAAACATTTTTGATTACCAGTGCTGTGTTTTCATTGTTGATGTGCTGCCAGTTCTGAAAGACTGGAGGTTGGTCAACTCCATCGTTTTATAGGCACTTAGGGAGTGGACATGAGTAATGCCATATGGGAAGTGGTTGGACTAGTCAGGGTTCTCTAGAGGAACAGAACTTACAGAATGCATGCATGCGTGCATACGTACGTACGTACATACGTACATACATACATACATACATACACATTTTAGATTTATTAGAATGGCTTACAGGCTGTGGTCCAGCTAGTCCAACAATGGCTGTCTACAAATGGAAGACCCAAGAATCCAGTAGTTGTTAAGTCCATGAGACTGGCTGTCCCAGCTGCTCTTCAGTGTACACTGAAATCCCGAAGCAGTAGGATCTAATGTCAGTGAAGGAGTGGATTTGCTAGCGAGAGTGAGACAAGCAGGCAAAGGGAAGAGAGCTTCCTTCTTCCGTGTCCTTTATATAGGCTGCTAGCAGAAGGTGTGGTCCAGATTAAAGATGATGATTAAAGTAAGATCCAGATTAAAAGTAAGTCTTCCCACTTCAAGTGATTTAATTGAAATTTTTTATTTTTTAAAGATTTATTTTTTATGTGTATGAATGTTTTGCCTGTGTGTGTGTGTGTGTGTGTGTGTGTGTGTGTGTGTGTGTGTATGTGTGTGTATACATACATATGTGTACCATGTGCCCAATCAAGTCAGAAAGTGTTGGCTCTCCCGCAACTGGAGTTATAGATGGTTGTGAGCTAGCATGTGGATGCTGGGAGTTGAACTTAGGTCTTCTGCAGGAACAACCAGTGCTCTTAACTACTGAGCCATCTTTCCAGATACCAAATGATTTAATTAAGAAAAAAAAAATCAGGGTTAGGGATTTAGCTCAGTGGTTGAGCCCTTGCCTAGCAAGCGCAAGGCCCTGGGTTCAGTCCTCAGCTCCAGAAAAAAAAAAAGAAAAGAAAAAAAATCCCTCACTGGTGTGCCCAGCCATTTGGGTTTTAGTTACTGAACAACCAAGAGTTGCCATCCCAGCGTGCTACTGCTTCCCATGAGGAAGAACCCCACAGGATAAAGCACAGGATCTCCCAACCCTAGCTGCACCCCCACGAGAGGTTCCAGCTCTGAATACATTCCTGGATCCTTCCTGGCATCCCACACACTCCCTTCATCTTTGGGCTGAGTTACTTTTCTCGTTGTAGATTGTATGTGCACATTTTTCTGTGAAGGGCAAGCTAGACAACATCTCAGTCCACGTGGAAGCTACTCCACTGAGCCACTGTGGAGTACAAAACAGCCACAGGCATGTAAGTGAGTGGGTGTGGCTGTCCTGACACTCCGTGTGCAAAACAGAAGACCTGTGCCATGGATTGCTGAGTGTGCCGGAGAGTGATGGGTTCCCTCCTTCATCCCCGAGTTTCATAACTCCTGCCCCAGGCTTTCCTCTCCCATCCCTGTCTACAGTGAGGTGGATGATCTAAATGCCTCATCTTTCCCAGGGAGACTGGTGGCCGAGATGCCCCATTCCCCTCCACACCACAGCCTGAACCGTAGGCTGGAGCTTTTATATATGTCAGTAATACTTTCAAATGTCACCTGGAAACTACACTAGTAAATGGCATGTTAAAAGATTACTAAGGGAATTATTGGAGGTTGGTTAATGGTGATAAAGAATCAAATCAAGTCAGCAGTTCCCCCTTTATGTCTAGAACAGAGGTAAACGACAGGAATTAGAGTAATAGAAAGCAAAACAGCCACGTCTGTTGGCACAGAGGAGGCAGAGTGAGGAAGATGATGGTAACCTAGGCGAGCCTAGAGTTCCAGGCCAGCCAGGATTACATAGAAAACCCCTTTCATCCCGAAAGAAAAGTAAGGAGAGGAGAGAGATGAGAGAAGAGATCGAACTGGCATATCTCGCTGAAAAGACCAGTTTGTTAAGCCACAGTCTAGCGCTCCCTGGCCAACAATGTCCTGAGCTGAACTCGGGGCTGCCACCATCACACCAGTGGTGACTGGTTTCTCTTCCACTGCTGGACTGGTAATCAAAACATTTGGAACATCAGCCCCGGGGCTTGCATGGGCTCTCCTTGTTACAGATTCTGACCTGCTGACCTTTGCCTCCCCAAGACAGTGTTCGGTTTCATCTCCTGGAGCTAGCTGTCAGTCTCCTTCCCTGGAAGGCGAGAGTGGGCAAGGGGAGAGAGAGCCAGGCCAGTTCCTTTTCTCTTCTCTGAGTTCTCTTGAGCCTTGCAGACAGGAGCTTCCTCCCCGGCAGCCTTCCTACCATAGGGGAGGTGGCAGAGCCTAACTGGAAGAGCATAACTTGGGGATCACAGGGGCTCTTAGCCTCTTCTCCAAGCACCCCACTCATTTCTATCCAGCACAATCTGCTGCTTTACTCGTGAGGCCTTGATTGGCTGCTCCAGGACCGTGTCACAGAGGGATGGCGTGTCTTTCGTTGAATCAGAGTTGAAAGCCTTATGAGTCAAAATGTTCAGTCTGCATTCACAGTTTTGCCAGATTTCCCTTTTTATTATTTTAATTTTTTTCACACAAGTATATATAATACATTGACCATATTCCCTCATCCCCACATTTCTTTATGTCTTTTTCCCGTTAGTCTCCTTTGTTTCCCTAGGCAGTGTGATTCTACTTGGCTGTCCTGGAACTCACAGAGATCTGCCTGCCTCTGCCTCCCAAGTGCTGGGATTAAAGGTGTGTGCCACCACCGCCTGATGGAAGTGAATGTCTTAGACTGATTTTTTTTTTCCATTGTAATTTTCATTGGTGTTGCATTGAATGAGCACACTGCTTTTGGTAGTATAGCCAATATTAATTCTAATTCATATGCTTTGTTTTGTGAATGAGATTGCTACCCTGAATTCTTTTTTTTTTTTTTTTTTTTTTTTTTTTGGTTTTTCGAGACAAGGTTTCTCTATGTAGCTTTGCGCCTTTCCTGCATCTCACTCTGTAGACCAGGCTGGCCTCGAACTCACAAAGATCCGCCTGCCTCTGCCTCCCAAGTGCTGGGATTAAAGGCGTGCGCCACCACCGCCCGGCTTACCCTGAATTCTTACTGCACTTCCCTTTGGTCTACAGGAAGGCTGTTGATTTTATTTCCTTTCTTGTCTTAAAGCACTTACTGAATAAGAGTGGAGAAAGCTCATACTCTTGATTCTCATTTTAGTGAAAGTGCATCGAGTTTCCCCCATTTAGTGGAATGGTGGCTGTAGGTTTGTTGTGTAAAACCTTTTTGATGTTGAGAAGTTCCTTCTTCCCTTGGTCTCTTCAGGGCATTTATCATGAAGGGATGTTGGATTTTACCAAAAATCTTTTCTGTATTTATTGAGATGTTCCTTGAGTGCATTTATGTGATGTGTTAAACTGGTTGATTTGAATATGTTGGATTATTTCCACATCTTTAGAATGAAGCCAGCATGATCATGATGAATGATCCTTTTGATTTGTTCTTGAATTCAGTTTGCAAGTATTGAGAATTTTTGCCTTTAATCAGGAAGATTAGTCTCTAATTTCTTTGTGTGTTGTTAATCCCACCAGTTGAGAATAAGCCCACTACCACAATTTAAAGTCAAATTTGAAGCAAACTTTAATTAAATACTGGCCAGATGGATGGACTCTGGCCAGGTCCATCTCTGGATTTCCAGAAAATAACCCCTAGTCATGTTTCACAGGGGCTTAAAAAAGCAAACCCCACAATTCACAACATTTCTCATCGGGTCCAATCACAGGCAAGCACACATCCTGACGTATTTCCTGCCTGTGAATCTCCTGCCCACATGTGATCAAGCACATCTGGTACAGATGGGTCAAACTTGTTTAGGAGAGTGAGAACATGTGGTTTGGTATCTCCCATAAACAATAGTTTCTAGCATTTCAGGAACTATCTGTCCTTGAACAAGGGGCTTACAGGCCAGAGGCATTTTTGTTTCATGGTTCCTTTAGGTATAGTAATTAAAACTTAAAATATGCTGGGGTGGTGGTGGCACACGCCTTTAATCCCAGCACTCGGGAGGTAGAGGTAGGCTGATCTCTGTGAGTTCGAGGCCAGCCTGGTCTACAGAATGAGTTCCAAGTTCCAGGAAAGGCGCAAAGCTACACAGAGAAACCCTGTCTCGAAAAACAAAACAAAACAAAAAAACAACAAAAAAAAAACCCTTAAAATGTAACTCTGGCTCTCACAATGTGTGTGTCCTGGTTTTGGCATTAGAGCAATACTAGCTTTACAAAAAGCCTTGAAGCATTCCTTCCTTCTCTGTTGTATGGTGTTGTTTCTTCTTCTTGGAAGGAATGAGTGTGGTCTGATAGAATCGGGCAGTGGATCTTTCTGGTTCTGGACTTTTTTGGGTGGGACATCGTTCCTTACTAGTTCAACCTCATTGCTTGTAGTCTACTTAAATTCTTTTCCACACTTGGCTGAACTTTGGTAGGTCAGTATTCATCAAGAAATTCATCTTATTTCTTTCAGGTTTCCCAGTGCTATGGGATGTCTTTCCGTATGGTGTGAATATGTGTTGCTCTGATTGGCTGATAAATAAAGCTGCCAAGGCAGCTTAGAGGCAGGTGGGAAGTCTAAGCAGATAGACAGAAAAAAGAGAGGAGAGGAGGGAGACGCTAGCCACCGCTGAAGGAACAGCACGATGTCAGCAGACCGTTTACCAACTCGTGTTACAGTTCAGGTTTCCCAACTTTGCGGAATATTGCTTCTAACTTACGTGTTTATGGTTTTCTGAATTTCGTTGGTATCTGTTGTAATGTCTCCCTTTTCATCTCTAATTTTATTAATTTGACTCTTCTCTATTTGGGTTGGTTTGGATAAGGGTTCTTTGATCTTGTTTATCTTTTCAACAAACCAGCTTTTTTTGGTATTGATTCTCTTTTGTTTTATTTCTATTTTACTTAATTTCTGCCCTGATCTTATTTCTTTCCATCTATTGCTTTTGGGTTTTGCTGAGAAATATTGTGCATTCTGCATTATTTGATGAGATTTT